GGGAATGCTGCTATTCATCAAAAGAATCACTAGCTGACTTCATTTTAGGCAGCAATTATGGTGCATGTAATGGAAATTTGCAGGAAATGGAGAGAATTAAGGATAGGGTGGGGACGATCCAGGCAGATAGGCCTTGCCCAGGACTCACTTCAGGGGAAACGTCTGTTCCAAAGCTCTAAGTAGAACTGGGTGAGTGTGTTTGGGTTCTCTTTGTTTGACAATCTTCCCCATAGTAATAGCAGCCGAGAGCCATAGGAGGGAGAAAGAGGATAATGCTGGGGACAGTGAGAACCATTTGTCTGCATGCCTCTTTTGAAAGCCATTGCTAATAAGAACAGGTTGGCTAGATGAATACCTGTATAGGATCTCTCTGTAGGTATGGATGTGTATGTGTGAGACAGAGATGATGATGCTGTGAAACAAAGGCAGAGAGAAGCCAAATGTGTAGCAATTTTGACAACTAGTGTCTGAACTATGGACCATGTTTTGAAGCTCTATGCTGTAACCTGGCCATATACAAACTCATCTGGCTACATGACGTTTCCCAAAACAAGAACAAGTGAGTGCCATGGATCTTCAGATGCATTTACTGCTGGGATGATACAGTCCCTGAGTGCTGACAGACCCCTTATGTAAATACAGGACACAGGGAAGACCTTTAAACTAATTTTGTGAAACTTCAGCAGTGACTCACACATGATCACATCTCAGAAACAATCGCTTATACCAAAAATCTCACCTTTTTACCTGATGCCTGAAAAATCTTAATTAAGGTACCTGATCTTCGGTCAGCTCTAAAAATATACACCTATGGAATGAAAGGAAAAAAAAAAAATCTAGTTAGGATAGAATTAATGACCAAAGATATTTATCAGCATCCTCCTGGGAATCCTATTTATATACCAGACCAGGCACGTGGCGGGCATGCTTACATGGAATGATGATAATGAAGACGTTAGAGTAACTCTCATTTCACCAAACCCTCTATAAAAAACCGTGTCCTTCAGTCCTCACATGAGAATCAAATCACCTACATTATTCCTGGGCCATCCTGAGCCACACTGTTTCGGGAATCCAAGCACAGTTAAGACCCAACGATCTTCTGACTTGTCAGCAAATAATGCAACCCCTGGAAAAAGTCATCATTTTCTTTCTTGAAATATTTCTGCCTGTACTTTTATTAATTAGGATGGTATGAGGTATCACAAAGTTAATATTTTAAACAAAACAGTTTGCCAAAGTGAGTCCCCAGAACATCAGAGCTATAGGATCTGTGTGGGCAAATGTCAATTTAGTTTGGGAAATGCCAAGTTAAGTGACAGTAAATAAACTTTACTGTGGGACTTTTCAGGACCTTTCATAAGCTCATTTACATTACAAATCTCTGTTTCTGAAGAACTTCTCAGTTTACTGGACTATGGAAGTTCTTTGTCAAGTTGCCATCTTCTGGGAACCAAGGTAAGGAACTTTCCCATGCAGTACGGATGCTGCCATCTTAATGAGGATGTTTTCGTGCCCTAACACCAGAAACGAGTGACCTCAAAATCCTGATGGGTCCTTGGGAATCAAGTTTATCCCAGTCACAGTTCCTGGGAATGTGGAGTAGTCAACAATTTTATCACAGTTACAACTACTTTTCTCAACTTCTCTCATGTTCTTTTATATATATATCTATATAAATATATAGATATATATATAAACTGAATGCAGATTTGCTCTGTCTGGCTCTGTCAGTTGTAAACACCATTCTTATCTTAAGGCTTGGCAAGGATTCACCAGTCATTACAACAATCTAAAGGGAAAATAATAAAATTAGATCGGGTTTTCTGCAACTAGGGAGAAAACAAAGCTGATACTGTCAGCAAGGATACATTCGCATTGCTGTGAACTGGAATGTGAGCAATTTCATCAAAACTACAGAGATGCTTTGTAGCTCCCAGTTTCTCTCCAAGATGACACTATTAGTGCATTTTTCTCCCCTTGTAGAGAAGTTCATGTGCTATGAAAGACCCACCTCTTTCTTGATGTTATCTCAGTTCATGTGCGTGCCTTCCCCCTTGCTCAGTGCCCTGAGTTTATCTGGGTTTGTTTTCAGAGGCTTTCTCCACCGTATCTACTACCATTAGGAGGGAAGGAGACATGTGCACCAGAAATGTGAACTGTCACCGGTTGCCAAGATGTGGACCCCACTCATGGTGACTCCACTTGTGTCAGAGCAGAACTCTGCTCCATGAAAACAGATCACCAGGCATTTCTTCCCAAGGTATCTCTGGGTGAACTTGAACGTCGAACCTTTTGGTCAGCAGATGAGCAAATTGCAGGGAACTAAGCCTCATGAGCACATACATCACAGTCAAGCATAGTCAATTGGATGGTTCCTTAGCACCCTCCTTATATCGAGAACCTGACTGAAGACTCCAAGTAACAGTGATCTCAGATCATCTGCGAGTCTCCAGAACCCAGACTTCATTTACCTGAGCCTTAGGAGACAGGGCCAGACTCTGGCCTGGCCACCTCTGAGGACTCAGATCCAAAGATCAGCTCTTTGTTCAGTCTTTCCCATCAGACGTCTTGGAGAGTTTGTTAAAAATGTAAATTCTTCATCCACTGGGCCTGCCCAAACTGGATGTCCTGTACCTTCAAGCTAAAGAACCAGTAAGCTTAAGTGTTCAAACTCCAGGCCCTGAGAGTTCACAATTTCAGTCTAGGGGGTCTTCTCTACACTCTAGGAAAAGCCAAGCCCACATATTCCGAGGCCAGCCTTTTAGCTAACCCAGCCTTGTGATATCAATGCTTCTTCTAAAACATTGGGGAAATAACTATGAGACTCTGGGCACAACATAAAGTCCCCCAAACCTGGAATTAGACCTGGCTCCATTAAGTCAAAGTCAAACTTGAGAAAGGATTGGTGGAAGAGATATTTGAATTTGGAAGTTCTGGATGTCATCTTCTAGTGAACGCCATGATGTCATGGATCAGTCTTATAAATCACATACACACACAGAGTCAACTATAGAAAACCTCAAATGAGTAAAAACAAAGAACGAAGAGGTCTGAGAGTATTATTCACTCTCTGATTAAGCTGCCAAAGCAAACCGTTAAAAGTGTTTGGAAGAAGACAAGGAGTTCCTCATTACTTCAGCGTTTTTACCCAGGAGAATGTTCATTAAGATCAAAGGAAGATGGTACACTTATACAACAGAGGCAGCATATTCCATTCTCTGTCTAACCAATGCTATTCCATAGACTTTGTTCTCACCTTTCCAATGCCTTCATCCTGTGGAGCGCCTCCTACAACATCGATGGTGGATGGGTGAGAGAAATGACCGGCAGTCACTGCGTAGCCTGAACAGGATGGGTAACAACCAATGCCAGAGTTGAGAAAGAAGAGCAGGGAAGAAAAACATTCATCAGAAGGAAACATTTCTCAGCATGCGCCCAACACTGGACAGTTATGTTGTAGTTTTTCCCAGAGCATGAGCTATGGCAGCTGCCATTCAGTAGTCTCAGGCTGAAATGACCCATCTCACAAAAGGAAATGTGCACAAGGGCATTAAGGCAAGAAAGAGTGCTTTCTGGACAGCCTCTTTGGAACAGGTACAGTGGTATCTTTTTTAAGATATAATTTTCATACAATAAAGTACACACATGTGAAGCACAGAGTTTGATAAATGTATATACATATGCAAATCTGCAACCACCACCCAGATGGAGAAAGTAAATATAACAATATAATCATAACTCCAGAAGGTTCCCTCATGCCCTTTTCCAATTAATACCTACCACAAATAGTCATTAATTCTGATTTCTAACACTGTGAGTTTGTCTGTTCTAGAACTGCATTCAATATAACGTCTGTGATGTTCAACTATGTTGTTGAGTTGCTGAATAGTAGCTCATTTCTTTTTATTGATAAGTAGTGTTCCATTGTAGGAATCTATCATAATATCTTTACCTTTTATTATAAATAAAACCAATACAACATTCTTGTACATATCTTTGGAAGTCGTTTTCTGCTTTAATCTCACATATCTGTAAGGAATGTATTATTATTACAAGAGGGCTTCAAAAATCTCACAGAAAAATTCCATTATCTTTTAGCTGCATTTTTCTAAGACCTTTTTGAGGCCCCATTTTATTATTACTTCCTCTTTACTTCCATTTTCCACTATTACTTCCATGTGGAAAGTGGGAGTAAAAGTGGTTCTGCAACATGGCCAAGATCACACAGCAAGCCTGAAATCCAGTCTGTGTGTCTCCAAACCCCTGCTGTTAACCAATATGCTATACTCTCTCCTAAGAGAAGACAGAAAGAAGCTGACAGTGGATGGAGGGATGCATGGAATGATGGATGGATGAACGAATACTTGGTTAAAGAATTTAGATGCAAGAATAATCTGAAACAAAGGGAAAGGTATGCATGAGCTTAGTCAGAATATTTCCAGCTCTCAGAGAGTCTTACTAACAAGTGGTCAGTTCTCTTAGACCCTGCAGAAAACCTGTCTATATGTATGTGTGTATATATACGTGTGTGTATACACACACACATATATATGCATACGCACACACACACATACATATGTATGTATATACATACATACACACATACATATGTATGTATATATACATACATACACACATACACAGTTGCTGTAGAGTCAATTCCAACTCATGGTGCATCACTGTAAGCTATAGGTTTTCAGTAGCTGCTTTTATTTTTGGCTTCTTTTAAGAAACCACTGGATGAACTCAAAGTGCCATCTTGTCAGTTAGCAGTGAACACGTTAACTGTTTGCATCACCCAGGGACCCCTAGAAACCTTATGCAAACTGTCATATATTCCCCAAACCTTGCCAACACCCTCATGGCCATGACTATAAGCAGTCTGGGTTTTATGGTGACACACGCTGCAATCCATTCTTAGTCATCCTGTCACTGATTTCTTTCAGACTGGGGCTCATATCACTGAAGAGTATTATGAGTGATGGCAAAGCCTCAAATGATCCTTTTTAATCCTTGCAGTAGATAAAGGTCTCCATGCTGAATTCAGGGAGAAACACATACTCTAAGATGCAAAGGTCTATCCTAGTTTCTAATATCATTATCTACACTGGGCTCTCTTCTGCCTTCCCTTCATTCTCTGAGTCCCTACCAAGTGTCAGGCACTATACCAAGTTCCAGAATGTGAGATACTCTCCACCTCCAAGGTACTCCAGGCCTATTGAAGGGAACACCTCCAGTGGTTGGCACTATCTGGACAATACACACTGAGGAAGCAGCTCAGCATTAAAGATTCTGGGCTCAGAAATCATGGCTTGAAACCCCAACTTTGCAAAACACATAACCTTGACCAATTCTATAACTTCTTTGTACCTTGGTTTCTTTATCTATAAAATAGAGTTAATGATGATGATAGCTACCTAAGTAATTTGCTTCAAGAACTAAAAGAAATATTATACAGAGCCTGGCATAGATTAAGCAATCAGTAAGTAACAGCATTAAGGAAGGGGCCGGGAAAGCAGAGTAGCAGACACCTCAAAGACTGAGAGTAAAAACATCACTGGGTCTGTGCAATGAAGCGTGTACTTGTTGTTATTAAGTACTGTGGACTCGGTTCTGACCCACTGTTGTTATTCTTAAGTGCCATCGAGTCGATTACGACCCATAGTAACCCTGTATAGGGTTTCCAAGGAGCAGCTGGTGAGCTTGAACCACCAACTTTGCAGTTCAAACAACTTTGCAGTCTGACACATTAGGCCACAGCGCCACACTAGGACATGTAGTTAGAGGGGAGAAAGCGAGTCAGAAAATCCCAGGGAACCTCTAGGCATGTCCCAGATAGGGAAGCTTGAAGTCATGTCTAAGGAGTGTGGAAGTGTACTGTTTTCTCAAGACTGATCTTGTGAGTTGTCTCTACTCATGGTGGTCCCTACACAAAGGGAATCAGCAGCGCCCAGTCCTGCACCATCCCCATGATCAGTTGTAGATAAGAGCACTGTGATACACCGTGCTTTCATTGGCCGATTTGTAGAAATAGATTGCCAAGCCTTTCTTAGTCCACGTTAGTCTAGAAGTTCCACTGAAACCCGCTCAGCACAGTAGCCACACACAAGCCTCCATTGACAATGAAGTGCATGAAGTACACTTGCCAGGAACAGAACCTAGGTCTCCAGCACAGAAGGCGAGGATTCTACCACCAAACCACCAATTCCTCATCACTGCTGTTGTTCAGTGCCGT